ACAGGGGACCCTGACTTGCAGAAAAGACAGTGAGCTCACCCCTTGGTGCCTTGTGTTGGGGACACTGATGGCACATCCTAGAGAACATGCCCAGCAGACAGAGGAGCAGCTGTGGGGTGAGGAGATGAACTCAGAGATGCAGCATGAGGCCTCCAGCTCCAGACAGCTCTGGAGAAGAAAGTGAAGACCGATGCATTTATGTTGTTTAAAAGGAGCTAATAAATATCTAAAGCAGTCATCTGAGTGTGTTCTAATATAAATCCTGTGTTCCTGAGATTGTGGGGATTGGGAGAGGAAGTGATGTCACTGTGGGAACTGCTCTGTGGGGACAGGGACATCCCTCTTCCTCTGCTCCTGCTCACAATGACCCTGATCTGGCAAAGCTCTCATCCTGCCCCGACTCTGCCATGGGCAACAGGCTCCTCTGCTGGGCTGCCCTGTGCCTCCTGGGGGCAGGTGAGTCCTCAGACACCAACCAGCCTCATTGTGTGTGTGTTTGTGTGAATGTGTATATGTGTGAGATGAGTACAACTGCTTTCTTCATTCTGTTTTCAACTTGTGTCTCCACAGATCACACAGGTGCTGGAGTTTCCCAGTTCCCCAGTAACAAGGTCACAGAGAAGGGAAAGGATGTAGCGCTCAGGTGTGATCCAATTTCAGGTCATGCTGTCCTTTACTGGTACCGACAGAACTTGGGGCAGGGCCTAGAGTTTCTAATTTACTTCCAAGGCACGGGTGCAGTAGATGACTCAGGGCTGCGCAGTGATCGGTTCTCTGCAACAAGGCCTGAAGGATCCGTCTCTACTCTGAAGATCCGACACACAGAGCAGGGGGACTCAGCCACGTACTTCTGTGCCAGCAGCTTAACCACAGCATGACACAATCGCCTCTTTCCTGCTCACAAACCTCCTCCTCTCTCTCCTTGCTTCCTTGTGATACTATTTTGCATCCTCATCTCACAACGCTCCTCTGCCTCTTCCAGAATCATTGCTTGCATGTCTGCTGCTCAGATCAGCAGATGTGTGTTGTACACGTTAATCATTTTCTGTGGAAGGCCCTTTGCTGGTCTTCATTATCCATCCTTATTTTCCACGTTGGATACTGCTCCCTTCAAGATTACTTGTTGCCTGCAAGGGATCCTACTTTTTACATTCAAATTTTACTTTTCATTAATACATATTTGATGCTGTCTTGAAGGTAATCTCATTATCGTCCCAATCTTCTGCTAATCTTTATTTTCATGGTAACATTGACTGTTATTTTGGGGGACATGTATTTCGTCTTTGGTAATGGAAATGAAATAACTATGCACTTCAATTCCTGTATGTTCCTCCTACTTCAGACTAAATCCAATTTTCTTCCATTCCTCCCATTCTATCCCGCTCCCTTTATATGATAGTTTTAAGGGAGAAAGTATCAGTTAGACTCTAATGGCTGCTATGTGATAAGAGTTATTTTGAATGAGGGTGGGATATTCAGCTTTGAGAAAAGCCATAGTCAGGGTTAGAACCATTGTTGGAATCAGGGTTTAGGGAGATTGCTCATAAAACCTGCAGGATGGCACTTCTAGAATAGTCTCCCGGCTCACTCTGCAGACACTTTCCAGCATCCCTTGGGCCATTGCAGAAGCAATGATGAAACTTAACTTACTGGCCACAAGATGGCACTGTGGTCCACTGGGATCTAAGGGGCTCTGGGGACAGCCTGGGAGAGCAGCCTAGGAGGGGAAGGGTTAAGAAAAATTAAGGCTGGGATACAATATTATGCAAATGTTGCAACAGTTTACAGTTATTGCTAGGCTACCTACAGCTATGCAAGATTCAGGAAATACCTCTAATCTTTAACGAGATCCACAGTTGAAGAATTTTGGCCGGCAGCCTTGGTGTCAGGGGCAGGTGCAGACAGAGGAGCAACTGCCTCAAAGGAACATGGGGAGGCGAGGGGCGGGCTGTGCCCTAAGCCCAGTGTGTCTCTGCTGCACCCTATCTTCCCTGCAGGCCTCGCCGGGCAACAGCCTTCATGAGAGGAGGTGGATCCTGCCTGAGACCAGTCAGAACGCCCTGGACCAGCTGGACTCCGAAGGCATGGGGGATGACACCACAGGCCCACGAGACTGTTCCCTAGAGAGGGGCCTCCAAGCCCCAGCTCACAGTCCTGAGGATCAGGGCACTTAGTTGGGAGAGCCCCTCCTCACTCTGACCCTGTCATGAACCCCAAACTCTTCTGCATGACCCTTTGTCTCCTGGGAGCACGAGAGTCCTGGAAACAGCTGCAAAACTCTGTCATGGGTTTGCAATGTCTGGACTCCAAGCCTTTTTTCCCCTTTCCTCTGAAGAGTACCCCTACCTCTTAACTCTTGTCTTCACTTTCCATCTGCCTCTCCAGCAGACTCTGTTGATGCTGGGATCACCCAGACACCAAGATACCACATTATACAGACAGGAAAAGAGATGATCCTGGAATGTGCTCAGGTTAGGAACCATTATTCAATGTTCTGATATCGACAAGACCCAGGACAGAGGCTGAAATTGATCTGTTATTCAGGTAGTGGTGGCAGCAGGACCAAAGTTGATGTCACAGAAGGGTACAGTGTCTCTGGAAACAAGCCTGAGCATTTCTCCTAAGCCTGGCATCCACCAGCACCAGCCGGACTTCTCTGTACCTCTGTGGCAGGGCATCCACAGCCCTGTACAGCCAGCTGCTCTCTGCACCAAAAGGGCAGCCACAGGTTGGAGGTGGGTACTCCTTACGGAAGGCCCTGCCTCAACCAGAAGAAAAAGCTGCCCTTTCTGAAGCTCTTTCCAGACTTCCCAGCAATGGGATCTCATTCTATGTGCGCTCCTGAAGCATGAAACTTAGAGTGAGCTGGGGTCTATCACTGTAGTGGGGATGTGTAAATGCAAACAACATAATGCTATTTTCCTCAATTTGGAATATTCTGGGAATTGTGCAAAGGAACAGTAGCTTCCAACATGAAATTCATATTTCACTTTATTTTCAAGGGAGAAGAAGAAAGCAGAAAGCAACTGGGAAGCTTTGGCCTGCTTGAGTGATTTGGGATTCTCATGTAGTACACATAACATCACCTTGGCTTTGGTTCCTTTGGATACCGAGCATGTGTTCTCTGGAGGACAAGAAAATCCGATTTTTTCTTTATAAAGTTACAAACACACAAGTGAACAATCCACTTAGTGACAATGTTAATAGATGCAACAAACTCTGCCATTAGACCTGAAAATAATCAGCTAGTAGAATTATAAAAAAGATTGTAAGCCTCTTACTTAAGTACCTGTTTGAGTTCCTCTGAGGATAGATGAAGGAAGGAAATTAATTCTTACCATCACTGTGACTTGGATTAGAATCTGTGAGTCCCTTAACTTGTTTTTCTTGTAAAATATTATAAAATAATATAGAACACGCATTTTATTTTCCTTTAGCCTGTCGTCCTCTTTAGCATCCCCAGGGAGAATCCCATATCCCGGTGCAAGACTTCTTATGTTGGGATCCATTAACTGAAGGACTGGGAGGACCACAGCTGGGTTTCACGGGAAATACACTCCTCATGTGCAGGGAACCCCATATGTCTCTTCTCTGCCCAATGTCCCCCTGTGAGGCTGCCAAGAGGGGAGTGCCGGGTCACCCAGGACCCCCCTCTCAAAAAGAGGAGTGGGCTGCTTGCTTGGCAGGAAAAAAAAAAAAAAACACCAATTGGCCAATCTGCTGAAAACCAATATGAAAGGCTAATATGTGAGACCGATGAATGCCCAATTTCTCAAATTATTAAATTTATAACAGTTCATGGTTCTTGGTATGACTTCAACAGCGAGTGAGCGTTTTTTTCTTTGTCTGTAGCTTTCTTTCAGCCATTGATCCTCGGTTGTGTCTTAGCCTCTTATCAGCCCAGCTCATTTTGATACTAAATTTGGCTGCTGTATATCTCAGCAAGAAGCACGTCTGACATTCTCCGTATTTTATGTGGTCATGAGTGTGTTCCTGTCTTATTCTTATTTTATATGATGCATTTCTAAATTGGACGGTACAGAATACAAGCATCTATTTGTATAGGACTCCCGTCTTTTATGGGGATAGGTCAGAGTAGGTGAGCGTGCATCGTGAGTCTCTGCTGGGATCTCTTTGGATTCTATGTCCACTGTCACATGGTTTATTGTCATATGCATATTTCTCATGGTTCTCCTGACTCTTTCAGCAACGCTCATTGCAGGATATTAGAAATCTTATTACTTCTAATGGCAGAATGTTAGAAATTGTGTTAACTCTTAAGGCAAAATAAAATATCCCAGACTCGCTTTTCCATTGCTCTTTCTATTACTTGTGGTCCTGGAGATATCAAGGAGGGACAAAAAGGAGTATTTGCAAAGGTGTCGCAGGGTTAAGGGAACCCAGTAAGAGAAGCAGAAGTAGCTTAGGAATAGCAGAATCTGTGGTTCTTACATTAGCCTGAAATTAGTAGGAGAGGATGTGGATCCCAAAGCATCTGCTACTGTAATTTTAAGACAAGGCTGCCTATAAGGTGCTATGGCCTTTGGTAGGGAAGAGTAACCAATATAAAATAACGAAGCAAGGGGAGAACCAGGACATACACAAATCAGAACAAGTGTGACCCTACCTCCGTCTGATCTCCTGACATTGTCTCCCATTAGCCAAACTCACTCTGGAGTTAGAGAAGAAGGGAGCCAGTTAACATAATACACTGGGGTCAGCCTCTGAAGGCAGGGTGGATCTGGAGAAATTAACATAAATTATCCAGATCACTATGCATAAGATGGCCTTAAGGGTGCTGAATCCCAAACTGGCTGGCTAGGTCTGTTCTGTGAGCTGATAAAGCCCTAGTGTTATTTCTGGAGAATCTGTACTCTTAATTTACAGACAACCCAGGTCTGCTTTGGATCTGATCAGATAGATTAAATCTTGGGGACTTTGTACCACTGGCCACTCAAGGGAGGGGCTGGAAATGTTAGCTGAAGACGAAAAAATAGAACCAGAAAATTTGGTTGAATCTAGCGTCAGAGAGATGACCTTAGGACAGCCAGGAAGAGCTGGAACAGGAAGGTTTAATCACAGGCTCTTCACCCTTTGCTGATGGGCAGTGTGTGAGCTCCAGCATGGAGCACCGCAGCACTAGGTGGGAGGAGGGTGAGAGGGCGATGGGGCAGCCTGGGAGCTGGAGCAGTGTAGGCAGAGGAGCAACTGTCTCATCACAGAAGCTTCTGCCCTCACCCAACCCTTCTGCTCTGCAGGACAGGGAGAGAGTTTGGGTTGTGGGGAGCACTGGACTCAGGAAGCCTGTAGAGGGAGGACACAGGACAGTGACATCACAAGATACTCCTTGCATCAGCAAAATCAAGGCCCAGAACTCACTCAGCTCTTCCCCAGGAGGACCAAGCCCTGCGTCAGGTGCAGTGCTGCCTGCCCCACTGTGCCATGGGCCCCGGGCTCCTCTGCTGGGCGCTGCTCTGTCTCCTGGGAGCAGGTGAGTCCTGTGCACAGGACAGCAGCCCCATTCTCACCTTTCCCACCCCTGTGTCCTCCACTTTACCTCGGGGAGGGCCTCCAGGCTGTCTCCTGGCTCATCCTCCATCTGCTTTTCCCACAGGCCCAGTGGACACTGGAGTCACCCAAAGTCCCACACACCTGATCAAAACGAGAGGACAGCAAGTGACTCTGAGATGCTCTCCTATCTCTGGGCACACTAGTGTGTCCTGGTACCAACAGGCCCCTGGTCAGGGGCCCCAGTTTATCTTCGAGTATGCTAATGAGTTAAGGACATCAGAAGGAAACTTCCCTCATCGATTCTCAGGGCGCCAGTTCCGTGACTATCACTCTGAGATGAATGTGAGTGCCTTGGAGCTGGGGGACTCGGCCCTGTATCTCTGTGCCAGCAGCTTGGCACAGCCTGGCAGAGTCACTGGAACTCTGTGTACTAATCTCTCTGCTTCCGTGTACAGCAGTCTCAGACCAGACAGCTGTGAGAAAGGCTGGCGGAAACAAGGCCAGGAGGATCTGCTCAGAGGATGCTGCTGCTTCAGGAGGTTCACAGCAAAATTACCTTCTTTGTCGGATGCCGAACACTATAATGATACAGTAGCTGGCACTCTCCTTTTTAGAAAAAGAAATTCATTTTGGTGTCAGGATTGTTCGACAGATGTGTAGTATAGAAGGTAAAATCTCAAGGGTTTGCTTTATATAATTAAGGGAGAAGAAATTGAGATTTGGTTTGGAGAAATTTGAGGAGAACATGATTAAAGATTATGAAAAAATAGAAGTAGAGCTGCCAGATGATAAAAATTGTGTTCTCTGCAACATAACCTGTCAAAGTTTTCAATTGCTAGAAAATATGCAGCAAGGCCTTGTAATAACTGGCATCACCCCAGGGCCAGTCTAGGATGGTCATTGCCACATAGCCTGTTGCTCCATGGGAGGGCCCTGGAACTGGTTCCAATGTCTTCCTTCTGGACTTAGATCTCAAGTCTCAAAACAGAAGAATTCATTTCACTACTGACGGTAAACAGATAAAGGCTCTCCCATTTCCCCAAAGATACATTCTGCTTCCATTGTATCTCTTCCTGACACTAACTACCCAGATCCATTCCCTTCTGTGACCAAACATCTCTTTGAATATTTCCTAAAACTCTGCAGCCTTTGCATTCTCTGCATTTGTGCTCAGTATTTCTATGGCCTGGAAGGACCTCTGTCTCCCAGGAAACAACCAGACCCTGCTCATTGGTCAAGAATGGGCTCACGTTGCTTTCCTCTTCACTTCTTACCATGATATTCCCCAGCATTGTACTATACCAACATCTTTATTATTTTCATAGGAAAAGCCAAGTATTAATTAAATATATAGTGAATATTCTTTGATGTTGTGAAATGTATGTTAATTCCTGCCTATATAGCGTTCTGGAATATTACTATTATTAATATGAGGGATATTATTAACCACTAACTATTTCCTGGTTAGAGATCAAAGTCACTTCTGCGTAGTGACAGCAAATGTGAGAACCAATGGAATCTGTTTGATTACAGTGTTATTCATTTCAAATTTTTATAATTTAGAAGTAAATTTTTAAAATCTAGAAACCCTTTTGTAAAATGCACTATCTAAAATTTAGTAATAATGAATCTAAATACAACATATGAAAACATATGAGTATAATTAACTGGGATTAGCTGTGGAATATAGGGTTTCCAGGCTGGGTCTCCTTGATATCATCACGCTGTTTAATTGTATGGCCTTTATAATTCTGGCTGGTCTCTACCATCTTAACACATTATTTGCAACTATGTAACAATTGTTTATTCATAATCAAAATGTTGGCTCATGTGTCCTCTGACTCCATTGGCGAAGGGTGGATTTGAAAATCAACCCGAAATGGACTCTTTGGGAAAGCATGGAGAGGGTTTCCCTCCATGGTGGGTGTGGCAGGACTGGGGGCATCTCTGTTTCTGATTTGGACAGTTTGAGCATATCACGTCAGAAGGTATGAATCCATGAGATTGTAGACTGTTGGCCACTTGGAGGCGCTGTGGCTCCACAATGCTGCAGAGAACTCAGCGGAGGGGTGGGAGAGGAGCCGAGAGAGTGGGGCTGAAGGGGATGCCTGGCTGCCTGCTGGCATCAGCAGAGTGGATGGAATTCCCTGAGTGGGGCCTGGACACGTAGAGTTAAGCACAAACTCTCATTGCCTTGGAAGAGTTGGGGTGCCAGAGGCCTCAGTTTGCACTAAAGAGGGAGTGTCTCTGCCTCTGCACAGGCAGTAGAGGGTGAACAGGCTGGGGTGGCAAGGACTGGGGAATCAGTGTCAGGGCAGGGACAGGGCGGGCAGAGGAAAGTAAGGTGTGATGTGGGCATGTGGGGACTGTGTTCAATCCTCCTCACGTTTAGCTTCTGGCCTGTACAAGACAGGAATAGTACATGGAGTAGCAGAACCTGAGACCTGCCAAAGAGTACAGTGGGCTGGAGTGGCCTGCAGGGGAAAGTACGTCAGTGCGGTGACGTCACAGGCCAATGCTCCTATCAGGAAGAAGAGAGCTTGGGAACTGCACAATACTTACTACAGAGACACCAGCCCCGAGCTGGGAGATCCTGCCATGGGCTTCAGGCTCCTCTGCTGTGTAGCCTTTTGTCTCCTGGGAGCAGGTGAGTCCTGGGCACAGCTTCGAAGTCTCCGATCTCCATTTGCTGTCCCTGAAATGCACGCAGGCCGATGATGGCTTCAGCAGGAGGCTTTCTTCTGTGCCTTATGCTTAACTTCTGTCTTCTGACACACAGGCTCAGTGGATTCTGGAGTCACACAAACCCCAAAGCACCTGATCACAGCAATTGGACAGCAAGTGACGCTGAGATGCTCCCCTAGGTCTGGAGACCTCTCTGTGTACTGGTACCAACAGAGCCTGGGCCAGGGCCTCCAGTTCCTCGTTCAGTATTATAATGGGGAAGAGAGAGAAAAAGGAAACATTCTTGAAAGATTCTCAGCACAACAGTTCCCTGACTTGCACTCTGAACTAAACCTGAGCTCTCTGGAGCTGGGGGACTCGGCATTGTATTTCTGTGCCAGCAGCTTAGCACAGCCCTGCGTGAGCATCAGCCTTCTGTGCAATAACATTCCTGCCCCACTCAGGAAGTGACGGTGAGGGGAGGGCTGCCAGCCAGAGGGCCTCAGGCCCTGGAGAGTGGACAGGCCTTTCCCAGGCACTCTCTGGTGCTTCTGTGTGAGATCTGGTTTAATGCTCACTGAAACTGTCTAAGCGAAGTATTATTTTACCTGTTTACATATCTGAGGGACAGCAGATGTCCTGGGGCTCATATTTAATAGCTAGCTGAAGTCTGTTTTTTCAACACCTCTGCACTGTCCCTCCTCACTCTGGAGATCTGTCCTTTTACCTGGTGTCCCATTTTCATGTCCCCAAGAGCAGGATGCTAAGGTCATGCATGAAGCTGTGATCATGATAACTTCTTCCCTGACAAGTCCAATGAACACATGATTTCCAGGCAAAACATACCCATTTACTCTTTATTGTGATTTAAAAAAAAAAAGGAAAGAAAAGAAAGGTGCAGTTTTCTGCTCTGTAGCCCTCCTAAGGGCAAGGCCAGGCATCTCTTTTACGGAGACTGTATGAGGAGGGAGCTTTCCCAGGTTCATAGCAAAGGGCAGGAAATGTTTTTCATGGGGCATGTAGTGTTCCTGTGCCCGATGCAATCTACCATTAGGGAAAGGACTTGAAAATTTGTTATTCATTAGTTAATATTTTTCATTCTTTTTTTTTTTTAGACAGAGTTTCGCTCTTGTTGCCCAGGCTGGAGTGCTGTGGTGCTATCTCGGCTCACTGCAACCTCCACCTCCTAGGTTCAAGCGATTCTCCTGCCTCAGCCTCCCAGGCAGCCTCCACCACACCTGGCCAGTTTTGTGTTTTTAGCAGAGACGGAGTTTCTCCATCTTGGCCAGGCTGGCCTCAAACTCCCGACCTCAGGTGATCCACCTGCCTTGGCCTCCCAATGTGCTGGGATTACAGGTGTGAACCATTGCGTCAGGTCCATTTTTTATCCTTTATCAATAAATCTTTTGGGGCATCCTACTTAGTACAAGGGATTACATCACATGAAATACACAATGGAAAAAAAAGATAATTAGAAAAAAGGGAAAATTTTTAAAAATGAAGAAAAGGGTGTTTCTTGCATTTGAGGGTTTCGAGATCTGCAATTTTTGGTGTATTCTAATTAGTTTACTCCGTTTCTGATTTATACGAATTTCCTCTTTCTTCTCTTTCTCCCTTTGGCTACCTACATCCTTTTGCCAGATTTTTAAAAGTTTTTAGTAACACTATTTAACATGAGATCCACCCTTTTTGTAGACTTATAAGGGCACAACACAGTTTTATAATCTGAGGTCATGATGTTGTACAGCAGATCTCTAGATCTCATTCATCTTGCATGACTGAAATTTTATACACATTGGCAGCAACTCCCCATTTACTCCATTCCCCAGACCCTGGCCACCACCATTCTAGTCTTTGCTTCCTTGAGTTGGACTATTTTACATAACTCATGTAAATGACATTATGCAGATTTTTGTCTTTTTGTGATTGGCTTATCTCATTTAGCCTAATGTCCTACCAAGTATAGTGGTGACAGTTTTGCTTCTGTCTTCCAAAGTTCACACAAATAGCTCCTTGACCAACTGTAACCCAGAATCATAAAGATAAAGGCATTCTTAGAAATATAATTTTTTGTCCTGGCTAAGTTGATTTAACACAACCCGGTACAGTATGGATTCTCCCAGGTTGAGGCATCTGGTCACATACCTGTTTCAATCTACCGTGGTCTCCAGTCTCCACTTTTGGGGGCACCACTGCTGCCCAGGTGAATATGGACACAACTTAGATGTCTCTGTCCTAGATGTTCCAGGCCCCAGCTACTGGCTTTTCTTTTAACCTGTGCCTGCAGTCTCCCTCCACTTGGACACAGGGCTCTGCCTTCTGCTTCCATCTCCTTCCTGAGCTTCTGCCCTGCTGGAGTTGCATGGACATCAGGGTCCCTGGTCAAAGTGTGGCGACCCACAGAGACAGAGGGAGGGAAGCTCACCTCTAGCTGCCTTCCAGGGCCCAGTTCTGTTATACCCCAAGCAGTACTCTGGTCTCCCTTTGGGCTCCACAGTATGAGAAATGCGCTTCATGGATTCATAGCTGACCCCCAGCTCAGTAATCTGAGGACAAACTCAAAGGGAAACTCTCAGAACTGAGGGACTAGCCCTGCATTTCTCTGATGAGGGTAAGAATACAGTATTGTAGACATGCCTTCTTCCCTGTGTAGACCTGGCCCTAAACAGGGAAAAACAGACAGGGTAAAAGTGCCCAAATATGTCTGAGGAGACTGAAAGAAAATTTCCTAAGAAAATCCTTCTCCTGACTTCATTCAGTTCCCAGTAAGACATACCTCATGCTCGGACCCCCAGATCAGCTGAGTACCCGGGATATCACAAGTCCCAGCATCTAACCCCACAGCAACTAATTCAGATACCGGCCTCTTTCCTGCTCCACATTGACCAACTGCCAGAAATGGTCTTGCCAATAGAGTTTTGTTGGCCAGGCATGGTGGCTCATGCCTGTAATTCCAGCACTTTGGAAGCCCGAGGTGGGTGGGTCACCTGAGGTCAGGAGTTCGAGACCAGCCTGGCCAACATATTGTGAAACCCCGTTTCTACTAAAAAAAAGAAAAAAAAATAGCTGGGCATGGTGGCACATACCTGTAGTCCCAGTTACTTAGGAAGCTGAGGCAGGAGAATTGCTTAAACCCAGGAGGCGGAGGTTGCAGTGAGCTGAAATCTCGTCACTGCACTCCAGCCTGGGCAACAGAGCAAGACTCCATCTCTATAAAAAAAGAGTTTTGTCCTCTGACCACCATGTCTATATATCTAGGCAGATTTAATTTATGATTAATTTGACCTCTTAATCCCATTAAAGGGAAATGAAGAGCATATGTTTTCAATGTAAAGTATATTCATTTTATTTTTAATAAGTTGGAACTAGTAGTAAACCGAGGGTGTCTCTCCAGTATAGTCTTAAGACAACCCATGGTAAAACAAATCTCTTTACTAGGACTTTCTTTTTCACATTTTAGTTCCTAGTTATCCAGAGTCCGGAATATTTAAGAGTTGAAGAGTTTTTCTATGACTGAGATGGTCTGCGGGGGTTTATAAACAAGTGTTCACTTGTCCAACAAGCCTAGGGCCACTCTTTATGGAAGCCAGTTTGTCAGCTGGTCTGGGAATTTTTAATTTAAAATACGGTATGTTGTTTAACTTGAATAAGCATAAAGTCTACAAGTGTAATTTGCATATATAGGCTAGTGCCTGAAGATTTGGGTAGGACAAAAAGGAAAGAAGAGATAATGTTTGCAGATTTAGGAAGTTTCATTATACAGAACTTCAGGGGCCCGTGGGCTCTAATTTGTGGAGACAGTATAAAGACAAAGAATTAGAAAATCAGAATTCTCTTCTGGAGCCTACATCGGGGTTGTCCTGAGAAAAGATTATGATACGAGGAACATAATCCATGGTGTGGTTAGCAGCCCAGAATGCAGCAGACAGTTCTTGACTCATGCATTTGGGGGTGAGACTGGAGACACTGGCGGACGGTATAGCCTGTTGAAGCTGTGCACTCTTCATCTTAGCCTCTCCAAAACTCCAGAGACAAATGTCAGACAAATATACTCCTATTATGAAGAATATTAAAACAAAAAAAAAATGAGGAAAAGTTGGCAGAATTCATAAACATTCGCAATAGGCAGCCTGAAGGTTTAATTTTAGCATCATGAGATATGAAAGTTTGAAGAGCTATAGTTAAATGCACACAAAAGAGAATTGAAAGCTGAACAAGAAAAAAGAGACTCTCAGAAACCATTAGATAACTTTTTAAAAAGCATTAAATGGGATGTCTAGAAATGATCCCTAAAATGACTGAAAGAAAATGGAGAAAGTGAAGAGCAGATTAATGCTCATTGAAGAGATTTCAAAGACATTAATTTCAAAGACAAATCTGAAGAAGTTACCCAGAACAACACAAAAAATTAACTGTATAATATGAAACAGAAGTGAAGCAACAGAGAAGAAACAATGGAGGTTTCAGTTATATTCGAATATATGTAACATTTCATAAGAATTTCCCATTTATTCTTATATGTCATTGAAGTATAAGAGAAAGAAAATAGGGAGAATGATAAGAGGTGATATTGTGTGTGATACTAGCTGAGAAATTTCCAGGACAACTAAAGACCTAAAACCTGAGTTTCAAGAATTCAAATAAATCCCAGGTTAAATAGTTACCTCAGTGTTAAAATAGAAGAATATGAATGATGAAGAGACGATTTTTAAAGCAGTCCAAGAAAGATAAATATCTTGCAAAGGAATAGACTGAGACCAACAGAAATAGTGAAGAAAGAGAGTTAAAAATATCTATAAATGCAGATTATAGTCCTCATTCATCAAAGAGACAAGGAGACCTCGGCAGTTCATATTCTGAACCCTTGGGCTGGTGACCTGAAATATATTTGGCTGAGTGTTCTCATTTGTAAACTGAATTCAATTTGCAGAGTTTTTGTTTGTTTGTTTGTTTGTTTGTTTGTTTTGAGATGGAGTCTTGCTCTGTCACCAGGCTGGAATTCAGTGGCATGATCTCGGCTCACTGCAACCTCCACCTCCCAGGTTCAAGCAATTCTGCCTCAGCCTCCCGAGTGGCTGGGACTAAAGGCACACACCACCAAGCCCAGCTAATTTTTGTATTTTTAGTGGAGACGAGGTTTCACCTTGTTGGCCAGTCTTGCAGAGATTTTAGAGAGATAACTTTAAAAACTAGAGTCATCTAAAGTACAGGTTCAATAAATCTTAGGTCCCTATAAATTCTCTGACAAATCTCCAGTCTAGCTCAGTTATTTACTCTCTGAAATTCTGGTAACAAAGGCAAGCACAGATTACTTTTGCCTGATTCAACCATGTTTCAGACACAAAGTCATCTAAAATGCAAATATAGTAGTCTGATAGTTCATTATGCAAAAGTAACATAAAGAGTTGCCATTTAAGGAAATATGAGAATGTTCCCCCTTATGAACTTCCTGCTTGATAACTGAGTTTGATATGCATGAAGGTGTGGTGCGCCCAGAAAGACATGGCTTCAGTGCAATTGGCCATCACACAACAGAGCTGATAGAAGAAGGCACAACTTTATTGGAAAGGAGATCACAGAGGAGCTTCTAGTGGCTTCCATGACCTCCTCTCCATCCCTCTCTGACTTCAGCCTTGCTGCCGTGGACAGTGCCAGTTCCCATTTACCTCCTGCTGACTGTGCCCTTCCACACTGTCTGCTGGGAATGTTGCTGCTGCCTGCTCTGGGGCCTTCTCTGATATTATCTGAATTCACCTGGGCTGTACTCAAAGACAGCCAGAGGTCCTGATGCTCCTGGTGGAACAGGACAGGGGGACAAAAGCTCCAACCTGCCCATTCATGCAGATACTCCAGAGAGCACCCTATGCTCTTGGAGGTCCTGATGGATTCCATCTCCTGTTGCCCCAGCACACATAGAATATTGCACCTTTATCCTGGTTTCTCCCTTCCCTATTTTGTTTTTCTTGCTCTCTTACTTCTTCCTGGAATCATTTCCCAAATCAGCTACATACACCCAAGTCTCCCCATCACAGACAGTCTTCAGAGACAGACTAAACTGTGGCAGTGATGGAATGAAGCGACCATCGAAAGACCCTTCCTTTTGAAGGAGACCACTGTTTATCTTTTATTCATACTGCTACTCATTCATTTAAAAAGTCTTATGATGATGTATACAAACTCATCTTTTCCAAATCCGTTTGGATTCATCTGGAGTTCCCAACATTCTCAGGATGGCTCTCTGCTCCCTTAAAACTTCAAACTTGTTTTGAACTGAATACAGAAGTAGAATCTGCCTGGACTCAGATAATCATTCATTCCTTTCTTCATTCATTCAACAAACGTTTAATAAGTTATAGGTGAAGACTAGATTCAAGTTTTGTGGGACACAAAGCTGATACATTTTAGGTAGCTCTTTGCAAAAGAGAATGCAAAATAGCGAAGTGTTGAAAAGATCCTGTGCAAGTGAGAAGGCCTGAGGTTATTCTTCATTGGCTTCTTGGCAACTACTTAGGTACCGTTCAGGTACTTGGGAAACACCAGTGCAAAAAACAGACAAAGCTTCAAGTTGAGGTAGACAATTTTAACATGTAATTATTGTAATTTATTACACTTAATAATAAATTAATTTGAAAGTAGAAGGATACATTCCTGGTAGGTGCTTATCTCCCCAGAGAAGTTAGAGTGTTGCTGAGAATACCAACATTCTTGGTAGATCATACCCGATTTAGGGAACGATCCTTAGAGCTCTGTAATTCTATGTGCCTTGCCTTGCAAAATGAAGGTCCTGATCTGAAAAGCTTTTTTTTTTTTTTCCTGCCCTGGCCCAACCATGAGGATTGGCTCCTTTGCTGTGTGGTTCTTAGTCTCCCAGGATCAGGTGAGTTCTGGGCATAAATGAGCAAGTCCTTCCTGGGCTTGCCAGGCCCTAACCACGGCCTCCTGTGGGGGTGCTCTTGGGCCTCCTCCCTGTCTCCACTTCTGATTCTGTGTCCTCTCTCACTGGAGCGTGATTGTGGGAATTAGTCTTCCAGGTTGCATCAGGATGTGCAATAGATATCCTACTGTATCTGAAATAACTATTGCAGTGCTATGGACTAGATGTGAGTTTTGCACCATAGCACATTTACGAATCCATCAACCTTCTCCCATTTGGTGAATATAAGATCTTCTGGATGGGAATAGAGCCTTTTCCTGTGACCCTAGAGGCTCCAGATAGGTGTTGTTCTGGATGAACATTTCATCCACATTCCTAATGATTAGCCTCCTCTCTTCTTCCCAGGAAGTACAGTCACTCAGGGGACTTAGATGGTGCAGTGTTTGCGGCTTCACCTGAAGCAAAGGGGGAAAACATGCCCATGAGAACACACAGCAGCCTGAGCTTGGATGGTGACACTCCCATCAGGTGTAATGAGGGGCTCTAGCATGAAGCAAGTCTTCAAACGGTAATGACCTTGAACCTTGAACTTCGAACTCGGAGACCTTTCTGGATGTCATTTAACCGAGGTATCCCTGTAGGCTGACATACAAGTGTCCAGAGCTTAAACAAAGAGGAAAATAATTCAATTTGGAGTTGAATTTTGTGCAGGAAGTCATAAAAGGCACCAGAACTGCTATGATAATGTTCTTTAGCCTAGAGAAATATTCATAAAAGTGAAAATAGTATTCAAATAAAGAATTTCTCATAATGGAAATAAAATATACATAGAAGAACAAATTCCCCTACTAAAATCAGGGAAAGAGTTAAGGAGTTTATTAGATTTCTTTCAAAACAGACCTAAAAATTATTCAACTCTGTTATAAATGATTTGTTCCTGTGGGGAAGAGAAGGGGCGTGGCAGGTTAGCTCTGCAGTTCAAGCATTTAGCAGGGACAGTGACATCATCAAGTCACTTAGAGCCCAACTTCAATTTGCCCACAGCAGGGCTGGGAAACACAAGATCCTGCCCTAGAGCTGAAATGGGCACCAGGCTCTTCTTCTATGTGGCCCTTTGTCTGCTGTGGGCAGGTGAGGGCCGGTCACAGGAAGGCCTCCTTCCCTGAAATTCCCAAGGCCTCAATGCAAGCTTTTCTATTGGGATGACAGCATCAGTATCTGTTGTTCTCTATTACAGGACACAGGGATGCTGAAATCATCCAGAGCCCAAGACACAAGATCACAGAGACAGGAAGGAAGGTGACTTTGACGTGTCACCAGACTTGGAACCACAACAATATGTTCTGGTACCGACAAGACCTGGGACACGGGCTGAGACTGATCCATTACTCATATGGTGTTCCAGACACTAACGAAGGAGAAGTCCCAGATGGCTACAGTGTCTCTAGATCGAATAAAGAGGATTTCCCCCTCACTGTGGAGTCTGCTGCCTCCTCCCAGACATCTGTGTATTTCTGCGCCAGCAGTGAGTCCACAGTGCTGCACAGCTGCCTCCTCTCTGCACATAAAGGGCAGTTAGAATGATTGAGGTTGCCTGTGCTCCCAAGTCCCAGCCTTCATAGGAGTCAGAGAGCCCTGGCTAGCCTGGGGGCCAAAGAGCAGGGACCATATGACCCTTGGTGTTGAGGTCCATTCCTACCCCAGTCTCAGACCAACTGGAGGTCACCCCAACACCCTTAGCTTCTGCAGTTCCCTATTTCCTTTTGTAAAATGGAAAAGGCATCTTTAGTTGAGATTCCTAATTTCCTTGACAATTTAAAACCCACTATATTCTTCTCTCCCCTAAGGGATGGGTGACTTGTCCATCTACCCTTTCCCCTACCCTCTACTACCCTTCAACTCACAATCATAAATCTTTGCCCATGTGGTCTCTGCTCCTGGGGGGCCTTTCTTCTAAGGGTAATAGACCCATGAGGTACTGTATCATTAGCCATTTACCTACCTCTTCGTCTTCATTTTGCACCATGTTTTCCCTGGCTGTCTGCTCCAGTCACGCTCCCCTACATGCAGTTATTTCTTCATATGTGTCCATTGTTTTCCACCCTGGGGATTGTTTATACAAATTCTTTCTTCTGCACTGAGTATGCATACCACCCACTTAGTCCTACATCTCTACTTCATTTCTTAAATTAAAATGTATTTCAGGCACACTTGCTCTTAACTGTAAAGAGCAAAAAAGAAAGTTTACTAGAAAAATATTTTATGCATTCATTTGGGGGATGACTTTTTTAGAAGAGACAAAAAAAAGCCACAAGCCAAAAGAACAATATTCATAACGCTAATTGCATTAAATTGTTTCAAGCCAAAACACACCATAAAAATTAAAAAGTTAAGCTACAGCTTGGGAAAGGCATGAAGAATGCATACAAATGATGAAAAATCAGTGTGACAGAGAACATTCAGTGTGACAGAGAACATTCGGTGTGACAGAGAACATTCAGTGTGACAGAGAACGTTCAGAACATCACTGAATACCCGTAGTTCCTCCATGGTTTCTGGCCTCCTTTGCATTTGGAGGGTTGGGAACATGTCACCAGGTTCTGAAGAGTGGGATAAAATGATGTCAGCTCATTTCAAGCCTGGCCCTTAAAAATATTTTGTAGCACTGTGTTGAGGGTCTTTAAATGTACTCCCGTGTTTAGAGTGTCGGTATATGGCACAGAGTTGTCCTCATGGCTAAGATTTATTAAAATGTCATAGTAAATCCTCTGTAGCAGATCATATGGAGAAAACACACAGGAGGAATCTGGAGGAATTCACAGGCGGGCTTCTTTATGCTCTCTTCCTCCCAGGAGGGGACACACAGAGCTCTCTCTCCTCCCAGCAGCAAAAATGCATGAACACATGTGCACGGTTTCTGCCAAGGCAGCCCATTACAGACTTAGCATCCTTAGCATCCAAGAGAGTTTAGTAGAGGCTGTTCACACAGGCGCCTACTGTCTAGCATGAACCAAAAGTCTAGATCCCAGAAGGAAATCTGATGTTCAGCATAATTATTATTTGCAACACCAGCCTAGGCACAATGAGCCATCCCTCTCAGTCAGGAGAAACTTTACATCAGTTCAGGATACTGTTCACTAGCCAAGTTCCCAGATTTCAGCCAAGTCCAATCTTGCAAGCAGGACTTTCTAAGCACTGCAGTCTCCAGCCTCCTGTCAACTCTTGTGCACAGACACTCTTCAACTCTCTTTTGCCATGTCTTGAACTTGGGAGCTACATAGTACAGATTGGCTGATGATAATATGGAAGCAGCCTGGCTCACTGGGTCATAATTTGGTGGACAATCACTGAAGAAAGCTGCTCATGCCACACTGGACTTCGTGGTCATGGGAAGTAAGAGTTCACAGAGCTACGCTGGTGAGATTTTAGGATTTGGTTTGTTTGTTTTGTTTTCTGTAGCACAGCTGTTCTTGTCTAAGAGAATTAGTATCTAGAATGAGTAAAATATTCTTATTACTTAATATTAAGAAGACAACCCGGCCGGGCACGGTGGCTCACGCCTGTAATCCCAGCACTTTGGGAGGCCGAGACGGGCAGATCACAAGGTCAGGAGATCGAGACCATCCTGGCTAACATGGTGAAACCCCGTCTCTACTAAAAATACAAAAAATTAGCCGGGCGAGGTGGCGGGCACCGTAGTCCCAGCTACTAAGGAGGCTGAGGCAGGAGAATGGCATGAACCCGGGAGGCGGAGCTTGCAGTGAGCCGAGATCACGCCACTGCACTCCAGCCTGGGTGACAGAGCAAAACTCAGTCTCAAAAAAAAAAAAAGAAGACAACCTAATAAAAACAGCAATACTGAGGCTGAGTAGGCAATTCACACAAGAGTGAACGCAAGTTACCACTAAACATGAGAATATATTTTCAACCTTACTTACAATCAGAATATTGTAACCTGAAACAGTAAGTTATGATTTCAAAATTGCTAGACTGGATACTTTTCCAAGGAATGACAGTCCTACATTTGAGTAGACATATGGACTAGTGAAAATTGTTCATATAGTTATTACAAAAAATAATTACAACTACATCAGAAAACTCACTGTGGGATATATTGTGACAAACCACGTTTCTGGAAAATTTATCAGCGTATTTAAATCCCTTGGGTTCCTTTCATTGTCGTTAAGTTCAATAACGGAGAATGCAGCTGTCAGTGTTTTCCTATTTTGAAGGTAGTCTTTCCATCTTTTAAAAAGTATAGTAAAATGAGTGTGACATATAATGTTGTCAATTTATTTTTTAAATGTACAATTCAGTGGCATTAAGTACATTCACCTTGTTGTGGAATTATCAGCATTATCCATTTCCAAAATTATTTTCGTCACCCCAAACAGAAACCTTGTACCCGTTAAGTAATAACTTCACTTTCCCCCTCCTCTGGCAAACTCTATTTTCTATATGAACAAATTTGCCTATTGTAGATAATATATTTATATGAAATCAGGGAATATTTTTCCTTTTGTTTCTGGCTTCTTTCACTTAGCATAATGCTTTCCAGATGCATCCATATTGTGGCATTGATCAGAAATTCATTTCTTTTCACTCTCAATTATATTCCATTGTATGTATATAATACATTTGTTTATTCATGCATTAGTCAGTTGACATTTGAGTGGTTTCCATCTTGTAGATATTGAGAACAATGGTGCAGTCAAGATTGGCCTGAAAATACCTGTTTGATTCCTTGTTTTCAATTCTTTTGGGTATAGACCTAGGAGTGGAACTTCTGGGTCCTTTGGTAATTCTGTTTCTCATTTTGAGTAACTACCAAAATGTTTTTTTGTTGCAGCTGCACGATTTTAGCTTTCCACCAGCAATGTCCATTTTCTTCACATTTCCAGTACTTGTTATTTCCTTTTCTTTTTCTTTTCAAAAATATGATGATGATGATTACTATTTTTATAGCCATCCTAGTAAGTGTGAATAATATCTCATTGTGGTTTGATTTGCATTTACCTAATGACTAAAGATGTTACAAGTCTTTTCTTGTGCCTATGGGCAATTTGCATACCTCTTTGGAGGTAATATTTATTTTATTTGATTGCGTTTTTAGAGTCTCCACTGACTTTAGATTTACACTGGTGTAGTGCGATGATACTAAAGGAAATTGAGATTAAACTTCTCTTGGGTGATGTGTTATGGCTAATGTTTTTAGTGCAGTACTTCTGAGACATTTTTGGTACTGTAGAAGAGAGAAATAAGTAATTTATTGATATTTCCTGGAATTAGATTTTTTACAAAGAGAAGAGAGATATAAATAAGAAACAGGGGAAGATGAGGAAGAAATCTGTGGTGCTGATTTGAATTGGAGTTATTAATACGAACCTAAGATTTTAAAGATTATATACTTCCTAACTCTATCCAGAGAAGGGTCTAAAAAACAATACAAAGTAAATTAACTAATGGCTGTATTTGCTTTTTGTTTGTGTTCCCCAGTAACAATAGGTACATTACTTTATTCCAAATGTGATTCCTTATAAAAGACTGCTTCCATATCAAGGGAAGGAAAAATGTTAGAAGATCTTTTGGTAGAAATTAAGAAAAAAGTCAGAACCAAGAAGACAGGTCCAAAATCCACAGAAGCCATTTCAAGGGGCTCCATTAGCCAAATCCGGGTCAATGCAAGCATTAAAGAAGATTAATGAGGATACTGATTTTATAACAAGTTATTAAAATCTATGAGGCTATAATGACAATAAAAAGAGATAGATAAGAATGTCTTTATTACAGAAGAATGCTAGTTGATATATCTAATTAGAAAATCAATGTAACCATTCGATAATTATAGACAAATTCCATCAGTAGATGCCTAAACTAACAGTCTTTGTTTCCTTCAGCACTTTGAATTAACTGTTCTGCTCTCTCCTGGCCTGTTGGGTTTCTGCTAAGAAATCTGCTAAAGGCTGTACTGGGGCTCCCTTAAATGTGGTATGTTTCTCACTGCTTGCTGCTGTTAGTATTCTTTCTTTGGCTTTGATTTTTGGTAATTTGGTTATATTGTGTCTTGGTGAACCCCTTTTTGAGTTAAATTTGATTGGCAGCCTCCAAGCTTCCTGCACCTGGATGTTGCTGTCTTTCCCCAGATTTGGGAAATTTTCAATGATTATTTCCTTATATATGTTTTTGGGGCCTAACAGCATGTGTACATTGTTTCAAAGCATCAATACACAGATTACTATTTAATTACAAAGGGCAAAGGGCACATTCACAATGGAGAGATCTGGGATCAGTCATCTCAAATTTAGCATTACCAAAATGCATAAAAATGACATTCCATGTTCTTGTGATTGACAGGATGCAATGGGAAATAGACGTTATCTATGGTGCATATTTCCCAAGTAATTAACCTCTAATAATATGAAAATTGTTATTGTGAGCTGTTTTACAAGTAAGCTGACCAGGACACTTCAAAAATCTATGGTCTTGAAAAACAGAAAATATAGTAAATGGCTGGAGGAGATGTATCGTTGAAAAGTAACTAAAGAGATCCGACAACCTTCTGAAATACATGATCTTTGATATTG